GGGGCATTTAGCCCATTTACATTCAGGGTAACTATTGAAAGGTAGGAATTTAGTGCCATTGTATTGCCTGTAAGGTGACTGTTACCGTATATTGTCTGTGTTCCTTTCTGGTCTATGTTGCTTTTAGGGTCTCTCTTTGCTTAGAGGACCCCTTTCAAGATTTCCTGTAGGGCTGGTTTCGTGTTTGCAAATTCCTTTAGTTTTTGTTTGTCCTGGAAGCTTTTTATCTCTCCTTCAATTTTCAATGACAGCCTAGCTGGATAGAGTATTCTTGGCTGCATATTTTTCTCATTTAGTGCTCTGAATATATCCTGCCAGTCCTTTCTGGCCTGCCAGGTCTCTGTGGATAGGTCTGTTGCCAATCTAATGTTTCTACCCTTGTAGGTTACATATCTCTTCTCCCGAGCTGCTTTCAGGATTTTCTTTTGTCTATGAGACTCGTAAGTTTTACTATTAGATGTCAGGGAGTTGACCTATTTTTATTGATTTTGAGAGGGGTTCTCTGTGCTTCCTGGATTTTCATGCCTGTTTCTTTCCCCAAATTAGGGAAGTTCTCTGCTATAATTTGCTCCATTATACCTTCTGGCCCTCTCTCTCTTTCTTCTTCTTCTGGGATCCCAATTATTCTAATGTTGTTTCGTCTTATGGTATCGCTTATCTCTCGAATTCTGCCCTCGTGATCCAGTAGTTGTTTATCTCTCTTTTTCTCAGCTTCTTTATTTTCCATCATTTCTTCTTCTATATTACTGATTCTCTCTTCTGCCTCATTTATTCTAGCAGTTAGCGCCCCCATTTTTGATTGCACCTCATTAATAGCCTTTTTGATTTCTACTTGTTTGGATTTTAGCTCTTTTACTTCTCCAGAAAGGGTTTCTCTAATAACTTCCATATTTTTTTCAAGCCCAGCTAGTATCTTTAAAGTGATGATTCTGAACTCTAGATCTGACATCGCACTAATGTCCGTATTGAGTAGTTCCCTGGCAGTCGGTACTACCTCTTGTTCTTTTTGTTGAGGTGATTTTTTCCGTCTTGTCATTTTGTGCAGAGGAGAATAGATTAATGAGAGAACAAAATGCTAGCAGAGTAACCACGTCCCCAGAAAATATACTCTAAACAAACCAGAAAAGACCTGAAGCAGTGGGATAAGAAAGGGAAAGAGAGAAAAAAGAAAAAGAAAAAAAAAGAAAAAGATAAAGATAAAAACAAAAACAAACAAAACAAAACCACAACAATGAAAGAAAAACCAGAATGTAGTCAAATATGATCTATATGGTATATAGATCAGTGCCACACACTAGATTTGGGGTGTATTTTGGTCTTTTAGAAGAAAGTGCCTCCCAAAATTTTAAAGAAAGAAAAACTTATATATGTACAAAAATAAGGGTTGATATGATGAAGGGATGGAATATGACTGTAAAAATGGAAATTATAAAAAATGTTATAAAAGGAATTAATAAGAAGTTGTTTGAAAAAAGAAAGAAGAGGATTTAAAAAAAGAAAAAAGAAAAAGAGAAAAAAAAAGGGAGAGGATGTGATCAGGCAGGGGAATAGAAAACACCATATACTAGAGATTTAGGGTATATTTTAATCTGTTAGAAGAAACTATCTCAAAATTTTAAAGAGAGAACAACTTATATATATAAGCCAAAAATATGGGTAACTACTATGAAGGGATAGAATATGACTCTAAAAATGAAAAATAAAAATGTTTTTTTAAAAAAAGGGATTGATAAGATGTTGGTTGAAAAAGGGAAAAAGAAAAATTCAAAAAGAAATAAAAAGACAAAAAGACAGTTAAAAAAAAAATTAACTTTGAAAGACTAAAGGATCATGGTAAAAAAGCCATGAATTCTATGTGCAGTATTCCCCTAGCACTGGAGTTCTGCCGTTCTCATTGATCAGTAAACTTGGTCTTGGCTGGCTGTTCTCACCGATCTTCTGGGGAGGGGCCTGTTGCCGTGGTTTCCAAATGTCTCTGCCGGAGACGGAATTGCCCCGCCCTTGCCCCCTCCTGGCTAAGTAATCTGCTTGGGTTTGCTCTCCGGGGCTTTTGTTCCCTGCGTACAGCTTTGGAGGCGGAGAGTGAAAATGGCGGCCTCCCAATCTCCGCCCCGGAGGAGCCGAGAACTCGGGGCCCCGCTCCTCAGTGAGCCCCCAGAGAAGAGCTGTCAGTCACTCCCGTCTCCCCGGTCTCCGGCCGCACTCCGCGCTCGCCAGGCCTGTGACCGCGCGTTTCTATCTCTGGCACCCGACCCCGGGTGGAGTCTCCAAACCCAGCCGATCCCTGCGGTGCACTCCCCCGCGGCTCCTCCCGGGGGAGGAAGGTGAGTCTCCCCAGATCTGCCGCTTGTTGAGTCCCTGCTGGAGGAGCAGGGGCCCGACTGGGCCGCGGATCCCGGTTTATGGCCACCCCGAGCTGAGAGCCCGCGCCTGGGCTCCGCCTCTGCAGCCGGCTTCCCTGCTCTGTTACCTGGGAGCTCTGCCGCACTCAGGCACCCCCGGTCTTTCTGTGACCCCGAGGGTCCTGTGACCACACTGTCCCGGAGGGTTCCACCCCCCGCTTAGCCACCAGAGTGACGTCCCTCAGCGGAGCAGACTTTTAAAAGTTCCGATTTTGTGCTCCGTGGTTCTATCACTTGCCAGAAGTGGCCGACAGAGGCTCCTCCCCCGCCGTCTATCCTCCCGAATATCGCCTCGGATTCACTTCTCCGCACGTCCTACCTTCCAGAAAGTGGTCGCTTTTCTGGTGAGAGAGTTGTTGCTCTTCTTTTCTTCAATCTCCTGTTGAGTTTGTAGGTGTTCAGAATGGTTTGATCCCTATCCAGCTGAATTCCTGAGAGGAGACGAAATCCAGGTCTTCTACTCCTCTGCCATCTTGCTCTGCCCCCCCATTTTTTTTTTTTTTTTTTTTTTACAATAGTGGAAACCCAAGAAGATGATGTGAATTGCCAAGAGACAAATCATAAACTATTTCTGTATCTGGGAGTAGACATCAATATTCTAGTCTCCTAACCTTGCATTAATGGGTCTACCAAGAGCTCACAGCTTGGTACCAGACTCCTGCCTCAACTCAGTTACATGAGGCTTGGACATCAGCTCTAAGAGAAGTAGGAGACACTTCTATTAAATGAAGTGTAAGAACGTACAATGTAAGAATATGATGTAGTTTTCCTACGCACCACAAGGAAAGCTTCATCAAATCTGTTACAGTGAAAAGAGACCATTCTAGTCTTCTCATTTATTCCACCCCAACTTACCATTTCTTAATTCATTAAATATTTATGCAGTAGCAAGTCTGCCAGGTAGTATCTGAGTTGATCTGAAAAGTCAGAGTTTACAATTAAAGGATGAGGGAAAAATAAAATGTGGAAGAGGGTAGTCAAACAAGTAAGTGTTTTTATCCTGAAAAGAAATGCAAACAAATACAGAAGCACCTTCTCTTACATAATAGCAAACTGGGCAACCTCTTAATAGCAAGGATGAGGTTCCTTTTCTCCAATCTGAGAAATAAAGAAGCCAGGCAGTTGTTTTTTTGTGTTTTGTTGTTGCTTTTAAATTTAGAGTCCCTTTTTTCTTACTATCTGGCTCACAGATGTAGCTTTAATATTTTTCTCCCTTTACCATCCCTTCCCATCATCCACTCCCTTCATCTCAGCCTCTTGTCCAAGGTAGAATCTTCCTGGTAGCAGCAGATGCTTTCAGAAAGGTAACATCCAGTCTGCATTCACATGCCAGACATGCAGGCATGGAGGGGGCCAGGAAATGACTTGGGAGAGGTGGAGGGAAGGTTGAGGACAGCTGAGCACTGCCTGCAGCACCCTTGGTGCACCCCTGTACCCCTCTCTCCTCCAGATCTCACAGCACTCTGATGAACTGAAGAAACTCAGAAAGTTCACATGCCCCCTGCCCACCTCCCATCTAGGACACAATGGGATGCTAGACTGTGCTTTGGGACCTTTTTGAATGGAACTGAATGAAGAGAATCCAGGAGGTACCATGGGGATTATTTTTCCTCCCCTCATGGCTCCCAAGCTTGCCCTACCTTTTGCTTGCTCCAAGACCTCAAGCAGATATTTCTTCCTAAAAGTGAAATGAATGAAGATCCACAGGAAAGTGTGATTTACATGGGTATAAATGCATTCTTCAAACTTTATTGTAACCACAATAATATAAATTATAAAAAGAAAAGAATGTCCCCAGAGTCACACCATGTTAGCCAGATAATTATCTTTTTGTAAAAAGTGCAATTTCTACTCTATTCATCTCCTTTGCCTAATTTGAGATATTTTAAGTTATTAATCAATGGTTCTTAACCCTGGCTCATTGGAATTACTAAGGGATTTTATAAAAGGTGTTGATAACCATGCTCCACCTTGACCTACAGAATCGGAATCTCTATTTGTAAAAATGATCCTCAGGTCAACATTCTGATTTTGAAGACAACAGAAGTTTCTGCATCTTTTAAAAAAATTAATTTTGTTAAAGTAAAATTCACATAACATAAAATTCACCATTTAAAGTGTACAATTCAGTGCCATTTAGTACATTCACAATGTTGTGCGACTCGTGTATTTTTGCAAAGCATTTTGAATGACATCTGCTGATATATAAAACTAGAAAGTTACATTTCTAATAGATACAATTAAAGGCTAAGAAAGTTTTTTTTTTTTTTTTTTTTTTTTTTAAGAAAGTCAGAGACTGAGAGCTTGTGCATGAGTGGGGAGAGGGAGAGAGAGAATCCCGAGCAGGCTCCCCCCTGAGTGTGGAGCCTGACATGGGGCTTGATCTCATGACCCTGAGATCATGACCTGAGCCAAAATCAAGAGGCACTTAACTGACAACACCACCCAGGTGCCCCAGTTATTTTTTTCAAACTATGTTTCAAACTAGTTTTTTCAAACTTCTCTTACGATTTTGGTTATTTCCACCCCTAGTCTAGTGATGTAGAATTGTAGAGACATCTGGGGATAGCTTAAGTGTCCTCCTGTTCATCTCTCTAGGTCTAGAAGAGTGGGCAAGGCTTCATTATAGAAGAAACTTCCTTTCTGCAATATACAATACGAATATCAAGGTAAGTCCAATAACAACAATAGCTGATGTGTTTTGAACTTTTATTGTTTCAACTTTTCTGCCAGTTCTCTAACCCTCTCAGCATTTCTAAACCTCCCAACAAAACTGCAAAGGTCACACCTTTTTTCTGTTTGGCAGTTGAAAGAATGAAGGGTCAGAGGGGATTTGCTCAAGGTCATGTAGCTTGAAGGTGATGTCACTGGGATTCTGTATTTGATCTGTATGATTACATTATGCTGATTGTCTCTCCCAAAGCATAGCATGAGAGCTTGTGAAAGCAACATTAGGTGAAGAAGCTGGTTCAAAAATTAATTAAAAGCCAAGGGTTCTGAGATTTGAAACTAAGGTCTATAACCAGTGAAGCCAAATGGAGGAAGAAGAAATGGGGTAGAAGGCTAGCCAGAAGGTAGGGGCTGTGCTTAAATTGTTGCTTGTTCACCTCGTAGACTCCTCTCTTTGACAGGAAGGTTTTGCTGGAAGCAAGCTTTAATATGTACCTGTGTGCTCAAAGGGAAGAGGCCAAATCAGGCTTTCATCATCACTAGGTGACAGGCATCAAGAGTAAGGTCAAGCTAAAGAGACTTACCCAATGTGTTAGGAGGCCAGTGGTAGCAGTGCCAGTGGGAAAGTCTTTAAAGCATTCCTTCATGCACTAGTTAGTTTCTGGATGCTCCAAAGCCATCTGGCTCCCAATCATTCCATCAGCAAGTATTTATTGTATGCCTTCTATGTGCCAGGTGTGGTGCTCAGCTCTGGACGGTGTCAAAAGCAGTGGAGAGCTGCGAAAAGGTAGAGGGAGAAATGATAATTTTTAGGGAAATGGCTACTCTGTGGGAGGAAAAGAGCAATTTGCTATATGCCACTTCTGTGGAGACTGAGCAGGTGGAAGAACCTTGATGTCTGTAGGGGGTGCATCAGAAAGGCACCTGCTGATTCACCTTGTCTGCATGTGTCTGGGCACTGCACGGGAGGATAATTGCATTGACAGTTTTGAATGGTGTTTGCCAAGTTGGAGCATGTGTTAGAATGGAAGGTTGGAGGCTAATTGGTTGAATCGTCCATGAAGATGGAGAGTCTCTTTCATGATCAGGTACTTTGCTCCAAACTTGGGTAGTTGTGGGTGAGTGGAGGTGCAGGGATACACCTTAGTTTGAATATAGTAGGCAGCACATCTGAGAGGCCGTGATAATTACAGAGGAATTTAGGATTGAGAATGGTGTTGCTGCCTGGGCTTCTTCTTGTCTTGGAGATAGACATCAAGGGTAGGGTCAAGCTAAAGAGATTCACCAAGTGTATTAATTTCCTAGGGCTAATAAGATACATTACTACAAACTGGATGCCTTAAAATAGCAGAAATTTATTCTCTCATAGTTCTGGAGGCCAGAAATCTGACATCAGGGTGTTGGCAGGACCGAACTCCCTCCAAGTCTCTAGAGGAGACTCCTTCCTTGCCTCTTCCATCTTCTGGTGGCTTTGGGTGTTCCTTGGTTTGTAGCTGTATAACTGCCATCTCAGCCTCTGTTTTCGCATGGCCTTATCCTGTTGCTCCCTGCGAGTCTTTTATAAGAATGCTTGTCATTGGATTTAAGGCTCACCTGGATGATCCAGGATGATCTTGTGTTGAGATCTTTAACTTATATCTGCAAAGACCCTTTTCCCAAATAAGGTTACATTCGTAGGTTCTGGGATTTAGGCAGACATTTTGGGTGCTGCCATTCAACCCACTACACCAAGTCCTTTGCATACTATGTTCAGAAATACCAATGGACAGAGATTACTTCAATGGTAAGCCTGTATCTGAGGCTATTATTTGCTCGCACTGGTTATCCCCTCCCAGCCTTCCTTACCTCTGTGTTTCCACCAAATATCGTGGATTATGGCCAGATGCCCGGGGAAGATGCATTTTTGTGTCTGTGCTGGGGCCTGATGGCTGAGATATGCTCAGTCTGAAGCATTTCCTGAGGGTAGGGGTCTGGGCTTGGAGTCCAACTTCCAAGCCACAGTGTTTGCCTGGATACTTAGCAGTAGGTGAAAATAAGTCACTTAGAAAAGGTGGCCCAAAATGTCCTCAGTAAACAGCATCTACAGTTGTAATTTCTAGATCTGCTATAATTGGTCTGGATAGCCTCAGTGTAGCTTTTATCAGGTGTTAGTTTCTTATTAGTCCTGTTTCCAGGCCATAAAAGCAGCTTCGATTGCTAATAATTGTTGTTTTCAGCATTCTGGGCTACAGATGCTGTAGTGAATGCCATTTGTACCTGCATCCTTCTGGGAAACACTGGTCTCCACTATGGTGTTAAAGATCTTGCTTTGAAGTATTAGGTTGGGTCCTTTCATGGTGGCCAAAATTGGAGGAAGAGTGTAATGAGCCTTCAGCTGTTGCAAAGCTATGCTCATGGCTGGAATCCAGCAAAGTCTTTCCCATTTGGTGGTCATTATTTAGAATAGTAATGGCTGAATGTGGTGGGAGAATTGAGCATATCTGAGAAGTCCTCAGGGACTACTGGATGACTCTCTTCTGGGGAACTTCAACTAAGAAATGTGAACTCTGGTTCAGCTTCATCCTGGAGACATGCTCAGAATATTTTACTAAATGGGGAAACCAAATATAAGACAAAGGTGATAGAGTGATATGATAACTCTGTTGCAACAACAGGGCTGTAGTATGATGTTCTTCCTTCTTTGCTCTGTTTTTCTCCATAGTACTTATTTACCCTTACCTATGTATTGCACTTAGGTATCTTGTTGATTTTTCCTGTTCCTCTGTACCATGAATGTAAGCTCCATGTTCCCAAATACAGTAGGTGCTCCATATACATTGTTAGTTTAATGAAGAAATTCAACTATGATTTTGTGCCCTGATGACCTAAATATGCATAACTTCCACAAGAAGGAAAAGGGGTAAATCTGGTTTCTAGCCACAAGGCCAACTTTCAGCAGCTAAAAACCCTATATACCTCTGTCTGTTTAAGAACAAGGACGCCAGTGGCCTGGGGTGCAATGCAGTAGGAGAGGCATTGGGAGAAGGGTGGATGTTTTTGTCAAGCTGCAAGACTTGCTGTTTGACTCTGTTTGGGAGGGGGCCTTTTATTCCAGGGCTGCTAATACCTAATCTAATAAATAAACATCTTGACCAGACAGGACTTAGCCTGGTAAGGCACAGGGGAATTCTGTTTGGGCAGGACCTTTGTTTCCTTAATGCCTATTGTGTTCAGGAAACTGGGATAGGTAATCTTGCATTCACTATTTTATTTTACACTTTAAAATTATACATTCCTTTTCCATAAAAATATCCAGTTTATCTATTTTTTCTATTCCTATACTTCCCTAGCCTACAAACCAAGCCTGTAATCCTTTAGCCCCTGTTAGTCTTTTGATATATTAACTAACTTCTGACTTTACTACTTTCCCTTCCAACTTAAAAGATTCAAGCTTTGCTTGTCAGGTTAGACTGAATTATGCTGCAGTTACAAATGACCCCCAAATTTCAGACACTTGTAACCAGAAAACTACATGTGGATCACAGGTAGGCTGTGGTCCCTCTCCACCCTTCATTCTGGGTTGGTGGAGTTGCCTGCCTCTGGAACACTGCCAGGTTCCTGGCAGAGGGAGGGAGAGGATGTGGTGAACCATAACAGTGGCTCCTAAGTTTCTGTCACTTCTCACATTTCATTGGCAATAGCCAGTCACATGGCTAAACCTTATGTCAATGGGCTAGAAATGATATAACCCTCCCCCACAGAGGGGCACTGAATATTTGTGAACAGTAACAGCGTTTACCGAAAGGGCTGTCCCCACCAACGCACATAGGGTGCCCATTCCCATGCCTGCTTATCTGTGTTCTACACATGTGCTGCTCAACCCAGATCCTGGATCCATTCCCCTCCATGCCTTGACCCCAAATCTTGGATTGCCCTATGTGATTGTGGTTGGAGAATATGCCCTCCCTTATTGCCCCAGTCACATTCATGTTTATGGTATCCTCCCATGCTGGACCTCCATGTTGCCCAACCATTTTTTTTTCCCTCTCATCAACTTTTGTTGACATTTGGCTGTTATTTCAAAGTTCACCGTCACCACATCCCAAACCTTTTAGTACCATAGACAACATGCCTTCCTTCTATTTCTTAGAGAAAACAGAGGCCTGAAAGTACAAATTCTTCTAAAAATTATAATCCCCCCCATTTCTTTTCTTTTCCATAGTGCTTATTTATCATCATTGATATACTTAATTTGTCTTGTTTATTTTCTCTCTACTTCTCTTTCCTTTTTCTTTAGGCTTACCTATAACACACCACCATTCTTTCTCCCTCTCCTGTCCTAAAAGTAAGAATAATCTTTTTTCTTTAAATGCATGCATTCTGCCCATTTCATGTGGCTGCCCTGCTCCATTTACTTTTGCTATCTTAAAATGGAATCTTTTTCTCTTCATTGGCTTTTTCCACTTGTTCTATGTACCATTGACTTTAACAACCTGGGCCCTAGGTGCTCCACTGACTGCCCCACACAGTGGAAAATCTGGTATAACTTTTGACTCCCCCAAAACTTACCTACTAATAGATTACTGTTGACTTTCCCAATAGCACAAATAGCCAATTAACACATATTTTGTATGTTGTATGTGTCATATACTGTATTCTCACAATAAAGTAGCTTGAGAAAATAAAATGTTAAGGAAACCATAAGGAAGAGAAAATACATTTACAGTACTGTATTATAAAAAAAATCTGTGTATAAGTGGGTCCACATAGTTCAAACCAGTGTTGTTCAAGGGCCAACTGTACTTCCTCTAGCTGATTTTAGGGACACACTGAGACCTTTCATGTCTTACTGCCATTTCTTGGAAGGGTTCTCTCTACCTGGTTGGCTTGCTGAGCAACTTCTGGGGCAGGCATGGAAGTTCACAAGTCATCACACTGGGTTTGAGGCCATTGGCTCAGCCATTTGATAACTGTTTGGTGTTGGGTATGTTAATTTATATTCTCGAGCCACTTCTTTAAC